ACCCACCTTGTTCTCCTTGATCATCCGCGCATAGGTCTCGGCGAGCTCCTTGCAGTTCTGATAGCTGTTGACGCCCTCGCCGCGATAACACTTCTGGAGCTCCTCCCGGACCAGACGGGCCTCCATGGCTTTGACCCATGACTCGCGGACGTGCTCCTCGCGGGCCTTGAGTGTTTCTAGGGGGAGTCATCAGCACTGACCCGGACCATCTGAGTAGCAGAGCAGCGCGTCGGTTCGAGGGCAGGCTAAGGGGATGCGGGGGAGGGAGACGGGAGGGGTCTTTCCCGGGAGAAGGCAGGAGGGGTTGAGATGTGGATCGATCCAAGCGGGATTAGATGGCGAATCGAGGAAGTATGACCCACTCCGGTAGTCGTCCATGGTGGGGGTCTGGTTGAACATGGCGATGACGAGAATCAGGTGGTGCAAGCGTCGGACGAGGATGGTAAGAGAGCGACGAAAAGAGGGCAACTGGATCGGACGGAGCGAGGTGGGCGAGGGACTCGGAGGAAGGGAGAATTGATCCCGTCGACCTGTCTCTGTACTTGTACTTTCCCACGGTGTCATCCTGCGGACTCACGCGCCTGCTCTACTTCGCTCCCTACCCGGTGGAGGACGTCCGCGCTGTCTCTCATCCTCTCATCCTCTCGGCCCAATCTTCCTTCCCCTCTCCACCTTCCGACGTTCCTCCTCACTCTTTCGCTCCACCTCGCTCCCTTATCTACATCTGCACCAACCACACCCGCCTCCCCCTCGCCGCTTGCCCGTACGGTGCACTGCATCAACGGCATAGAGTACGAGTACACCCACTGAGCACATCGTCATCCTCCAGATTTCACCACACCCCCTCTTCACTTCGCTCCATGACCTCCTGACACTCCCTTCACGCTACATTCCTCCCTCCCTATCCTTGTCCTCGATTCTTCCCCTCATCTTTACCTAGACACCTCTCTCGTCCCTTTCTCATTCATCTTCACCCCTCACCTTGGCGACACCTTCCAAGCCGTCCCTTCCTTCTCACTTATCCCCCAACTGATCTCTTCTTGATCGCCCCCATCTCCCCGGATCACAGCACCCTCCCACGCCATGAGTACCCGCCCTCCTTCCGTCGGGTCGAACGGCTCAGTCGGCTCTTCCAACAAAGGCAACAGCCCCATCCCCGCTTCCTCGTCCAATACCAAACCCCCCCTCGTCCTCCCTACTACCTTCTCCAAGTCGCGCTCTTCGCCTTCGGTGAGGATCCACCCATTCACCCCCTGGGCGTCTTCCGTGCCGCTCCCTCTCGGTCCTTCCCCTTCTGCCGGTCAAGTTCCTGCCCAGGCAGAGAACCTCTTCCCCACTGCGGTGTTCCCTTCGTCAGCGAGTGTGGGCGCTGGACCGTGGAGTCGAGAGGATTGGTCCGGCGAGGGGCCGAAGAAAACCCAGATCGCTTCGAGCGCGGGGAGAGTTCCGGTAAGTGCAGTCGCTTTGGGATTCCACCTTTTCTCGCCGAGAACTCTCGAGCAGGATAGATACACTCCTTCGCATCTGTTCGGAAACACATCCCGCAGCACTGAGACCCTTCAGCTTGGCTCTATCTACCCTCAGAACTTCGAGGCGCCGTTCCAACCCGTCTCATCCCGCGCTCTTTCCTCCCATCTCTCGTCATCCCACAGTGACACTCATTGGGCCCCGGCCCCATCCGCCGCCCCCGTGCCAGCTGATCGCCCCTCCCGAACAAACCTCACCCTGGAGGAGATGAACTTGCTCAGGGTATGTGATCCCCGTGGTTACCGGATCCAAATCCCGGCTACATGCTTACAGCATTGCAGGATCTCGCCACTGCCAATGCCAGGATCAAGGAGCTCACCATTGAGAATCAGCAGCTGAAGGAGAGGGTCGCCGCCTTGAAAGTAGGTTGTGAAGGAACACGACTTTGCAGGTTCACCAGACTCTTGTCCTGCTATCCAGATTCAAAGACCACGGCCGTCACTGATGCCTTCAGAACTGCGCATCGATCTTCCCGTCGGGCTACATATCCCCGCCCGCGAGTGTGGGGTCTTCCTACTACGTCGACCCCACCACGCCCCCCATCGGCCATCCATCTTACGGTGGCTATCCTCACTTTACGGATGAGCGGCGTGCTGGTCCCGAGGGCTCTGAGGCCGCCAAGGGAGAGGTGAGCGTTTCAAGCATCAGGGTGCAGTGCCGCACTGACTCTTGGCAGGACGACGACTACAAGGCGCCCTTTCCGCTCACAGCTGCCATCCTTCGAGGGGTCTACAACTTCGCCGACATGCCTCTGGAGGACATCAAGCCCATCGTGTGGGTGATCGCGAACAATCAGCCCCGCAACAACGGGGACTCGTGAGTATCTGCTCACTCCAGAAAATCGGGGAGAGCCTCACTCATTGACACAGCAGTGCCGCCCTAAAACTGGCGGTGAATCATCTTGCTGTGAGCACACCTTTGCCCCACTCGGTCTGGGACCTGAACGGGCGCTGACAATTGGTAGACCCTGTTCAACATGCCCCGGAGCATGGCAGGGCCAGTGGTGCTTGTGCGCTGCATCATCGAGTTCGCCACCCCGCTCTGCTACACCTCGTGCGGCAATTACCTTTGCCAGCAGTTGCTCGAGAAAGGCCGCACCGAGGACAAGAAGGCATTCATCACCGAGATCAAGTGAGCTGGAATACCACCGCGTCGATCGAATCGGTTTACTCACGGCGGCCAGAAACAATATTGTTGGCATCGCGAGTCACAAATTTGGAACCCATGTGCTTTGCAAAGCAATCACATTCAAGGAGCTGGAGGTGGGTCGAACTGGCCACTACATCCAGTGCATTCCGTCGGGTGTTGTCCGCCACGAGCCTGGTCAGTATCTGAAAGATCGCAGGAGCCCATTGCGGATGCTCTTCTTGAGCACGGGATCTTTGAATCGTTCCAGTCGGGTGCGAGGAGGCTTTGGAGGGATGTGAGTGGAGCTTCATCTGGTGAATCGTTTACTGATACCGGCCATCGTAGTATCTTGAGAGGTGCCGGCTGGGAAAGAAAGTGGATATCTTCCACAGGTGAGTGGGGTGTCCGGGAGCTGGCAGAGACTCTTCTGACGCAAATAGGATCAACGAGGACATGAAGGGACAGTGGGCCGATCTTGCGTGCAGCAACGAGGCATGTTGGAGCTTGCTCCAGAGGAACGGGGAGCGCTGACGAACATAGCACGGATCGATTGCGGTTCAGCAGGTGTTTGAGGTGTTTGGGTCGGCCGAGCTCAAGGTGAGTGGTGAGATGTGCAGCCAGCTGTCTCCGAGGCTGATCAATCGTCAGGAGCCCTGCTACACGGAGGTGAACCAGACGGTTTCTTGTACGGTCGCTTAGCTTCGTGCTGACGCATATCCCAGATCATCGGAGACCTCGCCAGGGTGGCAAACAACCAGTTTGGCCAGTGAGTGTCTGCTCGTCGGCGCGGGTCCGGTGTTGACACCATACCAGCTTCGTCATCACCAAATTGCTCTTGGAGCCGGAGCTATCTAAGACCACTAACGACGCGATCATCACGGCGTACCCGCCGCTCTCCACCACCCACCACGGTGTCAACTTCGTCAAGACTACCTTGCAGGAGCTGGGAAGGCCGGGCATGGTCAGATACGTTGATGCGATCTGCTCGACTGAGGGAGGGTGAGTGGGTGGCAACTCGGACCGGTCGAGTCGGGCTGATGAAGCTCCGCGACAGGCGTACTCCCGGGCTCGTGACTATCGCGACGTCGTCGGTTGGCAAGTCGCATCTGAGTGAGTACAACGTCAACCCTGGTGCAGCCGGCTGAGCTTTGGACAGCGCTCTTCGTGCTCAACTGTGTAAGTCCACCGGCTACTCTCACCCTAAGCAGCAGCCAAAGGGCGCAGGTGAACCGAGCTGAGAGCCGCTAGCTTCTTCCTCAAGAGACGGCGCGGATCCGTCAGACCTGCCGCGCTTTCAGCACGACGCTGCGCAACTCGCAGAGCGGCAATGATCTCCTCCGCACCCTGTGAGTGTGATGTTTTGCCGGCACGGTGCACGATGATGGCTCATATGTTTAGTGGATTGATCCAGACGATGGGTGCGAGGCATCGGCACGGGGCATGAGTCATGAGCCACGATCAACGAGATGGAACGAGCGATCTCGAACTGTCTTCATCAAGCTCGGTCTGCCACGACATTGTATCGACGTGGCGACGACATTCTTCCTCATCCTCCCACTGTGTCTTACATCACTACGTCCAACCAGCCCACGCCCGTGTATCCCGCCGTCGCCATGTTTGTGTTCACGCTCTCCCGCATCATTTTACACTCCCATATCCCTTCCTCCATTCTGCGCTACCCCGGTTTTCGCGCCTTCATCACCATCAAAACCTCTTTCCCGGGTGTCATCGGGAGATCATTTACATTCCACCGTCCTGACTTGCAATCCATCCCGTTCCATTCCCAGTCCACCGTCTCGTCACAGCCTCGACGTCTCGTCGCAACGTGATCGTCATCGTCACCGTAGAAGTTCTCACCGTACCATTTATGTAGCGTCTTAGCACCCGAAACCGCGCAGCTCGTCGCGGCATATGTTGATACTTCCCATGTTATGTACTGTATGTTGTCGTGAACACGGGCGGAAGAATTCAGATACAGAGTCGAGCGTCCGCATCGACGCGTGTTACACATGGTAGCATGGTAGGTCCTAAGGAGGTGATGCCATGAGGAGAGAGATCGATTGGGGTGCATCCTGGAACACACAGAGCGGGATGGACAATGAGACCGAAGCAATGCAGATGCTAACGATGTATACTGTATAGGTATGGTGTACAACAGAGTCGAACAAGTCTATCCACCTACTCCACTTCTCGTTCTCCACTCCTCCTTCTCTTCCTCATCCAGTCCGATGAGGATGCACACCAATCCTCCGATGGCCTTTATCCTGTCCCTCAAACCCTCCCGGGATCCGAATCATCGCCGACGCGATGCCGCGAAACGTCTCCGTCTCCGTCGCGCTCGCTCACATCTGCGTGCGCTTCTTTGCTGTGCGCATGTACGGCCGCAGGAGCCACTCGACGTCCGCTTCGACTTGGTCGATTGTGCCTTGTCGGATCTCGTAGGCTGGGGTGAGTCAGCGGGGAGGCATGAGATGGAGATACGGGACGAGGGGCACGGAGAACAGGGCACGGGACACGGGCACCGACACCGACACCGACACCGACACCGACACCGACACCGACACCGACACCGACACCGACACCGACACCGACACCGACACCGACACCGACACCGATACCCACACCGACACCGACACCGACACCGACACCGACACCGACACCGACACCGACACCGACACCGACACCGACACCGACACCGACACCGACACCGACACCGACACCGACACCGACACCGACACCGACACCGATACCGACACCGACGCGGACCAAGGACATGGATGGAGGTGTCGATGCGAGTCAAGAGCTGCAACGAAGCAGACGAGCCAGACGAAGGCGCCGAGACGCAGGGACTGAGACAAAATACCGGAGGAGACGAAGGAACGGAGGAGACGGAGGAGACGGAGGACACGTTGCGGACTCGACGAGTCACTCACGCTTGGCTTCGAATCGGGGGCCGACTTCTGCGAGCTGGACGTCTTTGTGGGATGATTTCGCAAAGACGTGGTGGCTGGGGGTCGTCAGCGCGGCACAGCGGATCAGGGTGGGGGAGGGGAGATGGGGAATGACAATGATATTGTGAATTGTGATGGGGTCAAGGGTGGAGCGTCGCCCGTAGGTGGTGTGACGGGATGAGCAAGGGCAGGTAACGCATGGCGGGATCGTTGCAGATCCACGATCGGGGAAGGTTGTGACGGAGTCGTCATTTCGTCGCGAGACCCCGCCGGGACTCACCGAAACGAGATGAAGTCGCTCTCATTAGCAAACGTCATGATCCTCTTCGCGTCGTCCTTCGGCACGGGGAACAGCGCCTGGAGGATCCCCTTGACCCTCTCGCCCAGGCGGGTCGAAAACCCCTCAAAAATCAGATGGGGGTACTGCTCGGACACCGTCGAGCTGGCGTTGGAACTGACGTCGTGACGCAGCACGACGTTGTGCAGTGTCATGGACAGTGTAGGACCGTGCGGGAGGTGCGAGACGATGAGCGCGTCGGGAACACCGCGGTGTTCGTGGATTATCACGAGGTCGGTGATACCCTGGGCGTGGCATGCGGGGACGAGGTCGCGGATGACCGTGTTGCCCCGGTTGAGTCGGTGGGAATTGGGGAAGACGAGGCGGAGTTCCTGGGGAGGCGGGTGTCAGCGGATCAGTCCAGACGGTTGACAGCTCAGTTGATAGCGATAAGCGGCTGAGAGTGCCAATGGCAAATGGTCGAGAGCCGGAGGTGCAGGGGTTGGGGGGACGAGTAAGGATTTGGCAGCAGAGGAGACGAGACGACCAGACAGAGTCTGGTCAAGGTGGCAGTAGTCGTTTCTGGTACCGACCGAGGCGAGAAGCGAACAGGGGGACCACTCAGAAGCCACTCCTGGCGAACCGAAGTCGCCGACGCCTTCGCTCACCTTGGCAAACTGCAGCAGCCTGGACGAAGGCGACCTCGACGTGGTGATGACGATCTTCGGATCGTACGTCCCTACTTTCGCATACTCGTCGTCCACATGGCTCTTCGGCGCCGCCTGCGCCTCGTCCAGCACCAGATCCTTTCCGCCCATTATCCTGGCCTCATTGCGTAGTTCCGTGGGCAGAGGCTTGCCCTGCGCGAGGAGATCTTTGATGCGTTGCTTGCGGTCGTAGATCGCGCGTTCTTGCGACTCTTGCGATTTCTTGTAGATGTACTCGCGCCGTTCGCGCGTCTGGCGGCGGAGCTGGAAGAGCGATGAGCGAGGAGAGCGGATAGAACGTGGGTACGTGGGTAGGGCATCAGAAGTGAGGGCGAGAGGTGTGTGATTTGAGCAGGGAGATGGGGAGACGGAGTCAGCGTGGAGCGGTATAATCACAAGGAGAAGTGAGGACGGCTCACCATGTTGATAAATCGTTCACGCCGGAGTCCGAGAAACGCAGACGCCGAGCTGTAGGAGTGGGGAATGTAGCGCTACGCTGGTGCTGCCTCGATTCTGAGTGACGGTCTTATGAGTTGATGATACAGTTGTGAAGAGAGCGTCAAGTGTGATATTGATGCAGAGCGAGAGATCTGCTCGTCGTCGTCGCTCGGCTCAAAATCCCAAAACCCTCTTCGCCGGTGGCCAAGGCACGGTCCAAGTAATTACGTCAGCATTTTTTTCTCGATTCCCACGTGACCGATGATGACGGCATCAAATCAATCAAATCCAATCAGCTCAGCGGTGGATCGGTGCGGGTGTTGCGCCCCCAGCTGGCGTCTGTGGCTTTTTAACGAACGTGCCTCTTTCATCCACAACGCCATTCCACACTGTCATCGTCCTTCTCGTCTTGTCTTCACCTTCCCTCCTTCTTCGTCCTCGTCTCCCTGGTCCCCCACGGTGACTCGCCCTACCTCCTCTCGCTCCTGGCGCACTCATTCCATTCAGATACCCACACACCAGGGAGGTCCGCCCCATCTTCCAACCAGCATTCCCCCTCACCCAATCCCCCCAGTCACGCGACCACCCCACCATGCGCACCTCCCTCGTCCTCGGTGTCCTCTCTCTCGTCCTCTCCGTATCCGCCGAACAGGCCCAGGTTCCACTCTCCGCCTCCTCCAAGTCGTCCCACAAAGCCGCCAAGCGCCGTGAGTGGCTCAAGGCTCATCACTACCGTGAAATTCTCGTACAGGGGATTAGGAGCTAACGCGCGCCGCACACAGCTCTCAAGGGGAGGTTTCTACATGTGACGGACTTTCACCCGGACCCGCACTATGTCGCTGGAGGGACGTTCGACTCGGGATGCCATAGGAAGCCTGATAAAGGGAAGAAGAAGGACGTGGGACCAGGAATGGAGGACCTCAGCGGTCCTGACGGAGAGGACGGGCAGGAGGCGTTGAAGGATAAGGAAGATTTGGCGGGGCCATGGGGCAGCGGGGTCTCGTGAGTTTACAAAGCCGGTTTGGAGCCGATCTGGATATCGGTAGCTGTGAACTGGAGGTGGTCTTGGGCTGACCGCCTTTCCAGCGACTGCGACTCGCCGATGTCCCTCGTCAACATGACGTTCGATTGGCTCAAGAAGGAATGGGCGGACGAGATCGACTTTGTCGTCTGGACAGGGGACAATGCGAGGTCGGTCCTGTTTCTGCGTATTCACCGATGCTGGTGGCCAGCAGCATTGCTGTCGGACTGACGCTTCGGAACAGACACGACATCGATCGCTCACTGCCCCGAACTCCGAAGGAGATCTTCGAGCTCAACCGCATGATGGTCGGCAAGATGCTCGACACGTTCCCAAAGGGGGTCCCGATCGTCCCGAGTATAGGCAACAACGATATCTATCCGCACAACGTCATGGCCGCTGGGCCAAGCTCGTTGACGTCCGAGTTTCTGAGGTGAGCGAAAGCGCGCTGATCTGCCCGCCCATTACACGCACAGCGCGTGTCGGGAGATGATTGGCGGTAGACAATCGAGCTGACCCTTCCACAGGATATGGAAGAAGTTCATCCCCGCCGATGCAGGACACGTGTTCGAGCGAGGCGCCTACTTCTCCGTCGAGGTGATCCCGGACCAACTGGCGGTGATTTCGCTCAACACGCTGTTCTGGTACGATACGAACACGCGTGAGTTGGTTTCTTTGAGACTCGGCATCGTGCAGGAGACCCGACTGACTGTGAGGACAGTTGTGGACGGGTGCAAGGATCGATCGACCGACCCGGGAGCATTGGAGATGGATTGGTTGGAGGTCCAACTGTCCGGGTTCCACGAGAGGGGAATGCAGGTGTGGTTGACGGGCCATGTGCCTCCGCACGAGGGGACGTACTATGACAACTGCTGTAAGCGATACACTCAAGCATCTTCCAAGTACCGGGCTGATCATCTTGCCGCAGATCTGCGCTACGGCGACCTTTCGCTGCGGTACCAAGACACCATCGTGGGACACCTCTACGGTCACATGAACATTGACCATTTCTTCTTTTTCGACGTGGACGATCTCGAGGCGACGCACAAAGACCTGAAGAGCAAATCCACCCTGAACTTCCCCGACACCCTCTCCAACCTCTCCATCGACGCAGTGACGGGTCAACCGCTGCGACACGGCAACGTACTCCCTTCGTCGAGCCGCATGCAGATCATGGGCCGCTCGGGCAACGCGGGGCTCGTCGATACGCTCAAGAAGGATTTCGATGATATGCCCGGACCGAAGAAGATCAAGATGGAGGATTACGCGGTGATTAATGTTGGAGCAAGCGTGATCCCGACGTATCTCCCAGGGCTGAGGATCTACACGTGAGTCTCTGGGCTTGGTTTGAGTCGCGCCAGCGGAATGCTGATGCGGATAGGTACAATGTCTCGGGTGTCTCGCGGAGTTTTGACGATGAAGACATGGACGGTGTGGCAGTAGGGGCGGAACCAGGAGCAGGAGACATCGCCGATGCGAGAGACAATGCCGACGGACGTTACGACGGTCTGTCATCGTCCAGTCATACGGTGCGATCAAACGTGGGCGACGACGAGGAATTCGACGATGCCGATGGAGACTCCGACGTCGGCTCGGAGCACGACTTCGAGGACGTCAAGAAGAACAAGAAGAAGAAGAAGAAGAAGGGCGGCAAGGGCGGCAAGAAACACAAAGACGACTGTTCACTCCCCGAGAACGAGGACAAGCCGCACTGCACCTTCAAGCGCAAGCCTCGGCATTACTCGAAACATTCCCCTTCTCGGTCCAACAAGCCCCTCTCGCCTCTTGGTTACATCCAGTACTATCTCCGCGATGTCGATTCGAGGTCGGAGGAACCACCGGAGTGGCAGATCGAGTATACGACGTACAAGCTCGACAACTTGCTACCCCCGAACGGGACACATGAGACTCATCAGTCCCATCACCAGCTGCCGATCCCGCTGAGGTTGTTGCCCGGCTACGACCCCGATTTGTTCCCTCCCCAGGGTGAGGGCGGCGCCGGTGGTGCCGTGGAGTTGCAGGACGACCACATTGGGAGAAACGGAGATGGAACAGGAACTGGAGCTGGAGGTGAAGCTGGAGGTGATGGAGCGGACAAGGACAAGGACGAGAAGTGGGAAAAATTCATGAGGGAACTGAAGCGGATCACGCCCTGGAAAATGAAGGATCTCACCATCCCGAGCTACGTCAAGCTCGCGAGGAAGCTGGTCGCGGAGAAGAAGCTCTGGAAGCATTTCGCGGATATCATGTGAGTGAGGCGTGACATGTGAACAGAGAGATGAGTGGTGGCCCTGGCGCGATGGGGGTCTTGGGTGGACCCAGCTGCGGTCTTGTTCGCTGGACGTGGACGCGGACGCGGTCGTGGACGTGGACGTGGACGTGGACGTGGACGTGGACGTGGACGTGGACGTAGACGCGGACGCGGACGCGGACGTGGACGTGGATGAGGACATCGCTGACGAGTTCAGGTTTGTATCTTGCAATACGGTGTAGAATAGTACGAAACGAGAGTACGAAACGAGATGAGTAGAATCGATTGATGAGATCATGACATGGGCTATTGCATGCGTACGAGCTACATGTACAATACTCGTACTCGTACAGCAGAGTACGTGGATAGTCTGCCTGGGTGCAGGGAGGATTGATTCGCCATGTGAGCTGCGGGCATGACTACCGTGCTCATGATGGCACTGCAAGTGCCAAGTAACCCGGCTAGTCGCACCGTGCAGGACTGATATACATAGTACCCGTACATGGCCGTGTGTCAGAGTGCTCGTACTGACAATTACCGTACTGAAATGAGTACATGGTCGATGCTGTACCATCCAGCAGCGGTGTGGCTACACACACACACACGCACGCACGCACGCACAAGCACACATTCAATACCCATCCCATTTTCCTCAAACTTCCTTCACATCACTTCTACTTATCGAGAAAGATCGGGCTGTTCCACACCGCTCTCCTCTCGCTGACGCCTTGGTCGATATTGGTCGTTACAGGGCTTCAACAACGCCGACCATGCCGAATCAGGACAACCGACCTATGTGCGCATACCCGCCGGACGACTGCTGTGCGCTGATCCAAGTGCCTTCGAAGGGCCTGGGTCTTATCGCCACCAAACACATCCCTCGCGGCGGTATCATCCTCGCCGAACCCCCTTTACTTGTCTTTCCGTCTGTCCCGACCGCCGATACGATGAAACAGCTGTACGCCGCATTATCACCATCGAACAGGAAAGCCTTCGCTTCGTTTCAGCCCTCAGGCGAGGATGACGATCTTCTGGTCGATTTCGCCAGGAGCAATGGGATACCGTTGCGCTCGAATCGCGGGGAGCAAGTTATGAGCGATGCAGGGACGGGGCAAGGGAAGATGGGCGTGTTCGAGTGGGCAAGCAGAGTGAACCGCAGCTACGTGCCAAACGCCGTTTGGAGATGGGATGAGACTACGGAGAGATTGAGTGAGTCACAGTCAAGTTTCTTCCGGGGAGGTGGTTGGATTCCTCCGCCGAGTTGGATTCTTGGTAGCTGACGACCATGTCATGTCCAGTACTATCAGCCTGGCGTGACATTGCGCCAGATTCCGAGATCACTGTTTCGTAGATTGACCCGACGTTCGACTGGCTTGTCGGGCCACACGGCGAAAGGCAAGCCGAGTTGCGGACACGTTACTCCTTCATCTGCCTGTGCGAGGCCTGCGTGCAACCTGGCGAGACGAGGGCGGCATCGGACGCGGCGCTGGGGCATTACCGGACGTTGAGACGACTGTGGACGGACGACGACGACAAGACCCATGCGAGCGACAGGTACCTCGGTTGGGCGGCGGACCTGCCGGTCGCACTCGCGGATCTCGCAACAGCCAGGCAGATCCTGGAGGAGCAGCAGAAGTGGGAGGAGATCGGCGTGGTACTCGACGCAACGTTCCATGTGTACTGTGTTGGTGGCAAGGCGTCATTGGCAAGAAGAACGGCGCGAGAAGCGATGGCGCAAGACAGCATTGAGATGGGTCC